GAAGATTCGCTCTCTCCCCACTCGCGGCGGAAAGCGTGCACCTCAGTCAGGGCGAGGGGGTGCCGGGCTCGCGGCGCTCACCTGTCCGGGACCCAGAGACGGGTGGTGCGGTCCCGGGACACGGACACAAAGGCCCCCGGCGGGTAGAGGCAGCACACCAGGCCCCGCACGTCCAGCTCGTGGCCCTGGAGCGAGCAGCTCAGTCGGTACCTGGCGGCGCCGCCGCTCTCCATGGCCCCGGTCGGTCGGCCGCTCGGGGGCGCCCGGGCCGGGCCGCGAGCGGGATCCGCGGGCCGGGGCGGCGGGGTGGGCGAAGGGCCGCGGCGGCAGACGGACGTGCAGGGCAGAGGCAGAGCTCCGTGACCGGAAGAGCCCGAGCGCCTGTGCGGAAGGGCGGCCGGGAAGGGGCGCGCCGGGCGGGCCGAGTGACACAGCAACCCTGACAGGCACGCCGGAATTTATCATCAGCGCCGGCCGGTGACGCAAGCCGTGCGCGCCGCCCGCCGGCCCGCGGGGAGCGAGGCTGCTGCCCACTGCGCTCCGGACGGGGAGTCCCGGGGTCTGGGGGTCCGGGGAAGCCACGAAGCCCGCCCGGTGTGCCCCGGCGCCTCTAACCCGGGCCTGGCCAAGGCCGCGTTTTGTTTTGTTTTCCTGAGCCCGGGCTGAGCCGGACAGTACACCCCGGGAGGCAGGCTGGGACTACAAATCCCACAATGCCGCGCGACGGTGTGGCGTGAGCCGCAGATGCGCGTAATCCTGGTAGTTTAAATCTTCTGTCTGCGGAGCTCAGGTTTATGAGGTTACTTAAAGAGACCTGTGAGGGCAGCTTTCTGTGGAGTTCTCCAAACCTCTGCATAGTCTCCTGATAGCTTAACAAGTTAAACGTGTGTGTTTTGGGTTTTTGTTGTTGTTGTTTTGTTTTGGTTTGGTTTTTTAAAATTAATTAAGACGAGAGAATTTGGGGCCAAATTGGAAACAATCGCTTGCCTTAAATTCTGTGAACACTAAACTGGGGTCTTGGTAGTTAAAACATAGTATTTTGTGTTAAGCATTTTAAAGATTTCAACTAATTTCAACTCCTGTTGATAATAGGATTTATAATCTGATAGCGCACCAAATTAATTTGAAAAAAAAATCATTATTTTAAATCCTAGAACACATTCTTATGTGAATAGGGGGTTAAGTTTCTTATATGTGAGTAGGGGGTTACATTTTTCTTAAATTTCCTTTTTAAGGCTTGTGCAAAGCGATTAAGGAAGTGATCAGCTGTGCATCCAGCAAGCAGAACCTATATGCATGGTCAGACCAACCCACCAGGAGTCAAAACATCATCTCATTACCTGATGATTAAGGACAATCGCTGACTTCTTCAGAGGACCTCCTGAAGATGAATTCCATTCACCCTAGCCCCTTCCCGCTTTATAATCCTGTTCCTTGCACCTTGCTGTAAGACAGGCTTTGAGTGCTTATAAGCTCCCTATCTTCTTGTTGGGCTAGCCTTCTCAATAAATGCCTTATATGATTCAACCCTGCCTTCCTTATTGAACACAGCGACAGGCAGCCCCACCCCAACAGGGGATTTCCCAGTAACAACATCTGTAAACAAATGAGAAGTGCTGACTCCCCCTCACATTTGTTCAGAAGCAATGAGGGGGAGCCCTGGCCGGATTGTCTTCCCATGCACCAAAATGGTCACAGGTTTATTCCTGGTCAGGGCCCATACCCCTTTGCCGGCTTCATACCCAGTAGGGTGTATTCAGGGGACAATAATTGATGTTTCTCTCTCCCTTTCTCCCTCTCTCTAAAATCAATAAAAACATTTAGAAGTATGAAAAAAGTTAAAGCACCAAGGAGGAGTCCGTGGCTGGGTAACTCAGCTGCTTAGAAGTCCTCCAGATAGCCAAGGTTGTGGGTTGGATCCCCATCAGGAAACATACAAAAATAAATGAATGCATAAAAAAAAAAAAAAAAGTGAAACAACAGATCATCTCTTTCAAAAGTAAAAAATAAAATAAAATAAAACAATAAAAGCTTTAAGGGGAGAAATATGCATAACATCAATAACCTCTCCAACAATATATGGAGTGGTTGGACAGTTAAAGTTTGTAGGGGAAGGAATCTTTTCTTTCTACCCTTTAGATTTTCTGCTGGAGCTCTGTAACAAAAGATTAGCAGGGGAAAAACTAACAAGTTTGTTAATATGTCATATACTCAAGAGAATAACTCAGAAATGAGTGACTCATGAAGGTGGCTGGAGCATCTTAACAAAGGAACAATAAATTTTTATGTAAGCAACAAAAAGAAAATGACCTTAAATTTTTACAGGCATATAGTTATGGGAAGGCAAATATGTGAGAAACATATGGTAGGTGAAGACGAATTAGTATAGTTGGTTGTGTAGGTTCCTCATGTGCAGGAAGGGAAATCTTTGAAAATTTATGTCCTCTTTTGAGGAAATAGAGGAACTTTAAAGAGCTTTTCTTGTATCTGCTTTTCAATTGTCTTCAGCTCAAACTAATCCTTATACCAAAGTGACATATTCTGAGGTGGCAAATTCGACTACCCTTCACTACAATGACCAAAAGGAAAAAAATGACCACTACGAATATGTTGGGATCAAGTTGTATAGTTTAATAAAAATATTTTACAAACTTAAGAGTGAGAACTCAGCCCCATATCATTATTTTGTTATAGTATTCCAGGGCAGGAGAAGTAGGGAAACTGAGACAGGAAAGTTAAAACAAGGCCAAACAGTATGGGCAATCTGCAGCCAGCTTGTAACTAACAAGCCTTTGTCTTCCCCAGCCAAGCACATGAGGGCAAATAATCAACAAAACCTCCCTCATGAGAGAATAAGGAAAGGGAAGAGGAAAGGGGAAAGGGAAAAAAAGGGCAGTTTTACTCCCTAAGCCAGTGATTCTCAACCTTTCTAACTCCCCGGCCCTTTAATACAGTTCCCCATGCTGTGGTGACCCCCAACCATAAAATTATTTTCGTTGGTACTTCATAACTATAGTAATGTAAATATCTGTGTTTTCCGATGGTCTTAGGCGACCCTGCTAGCAGTTCTCAGTGACCCACAGGTTGAGAACCACTGCTGTAGAGCCCAAGACCATTGAAAAACACAGATATGTACATTACAATTCATAACAGTAGCAAAGTTACAGTTATGAAGTAGCAACGAAAATAATTTTATGGTTGGGGGTCACCACAACACGAGGAACTGTATTAAAGGGTCCCATCGTTAGAAAGGTTGAGAACCACTGCGCCTAAGCAGAGAAGCCAGCAGTCTCCAGACTTGGCAAGAAAAAGTTGCCAGGTGTTCTCATAATTTCTGGGACGGCCACAACAAATTAAAAAAATAAATAAATAAAGTGAGTGGGGCTGTATCAAATTTCAGCAGAGGAAATTTGAGGCCTATAGACAGAAAGGTATATAATGCCTCAGGGTGCCATCCAACCTGCTCTTCAGATTAGCTAAAATGTGCTTCATAAGCCAGGTGTATAGGTTTGCTTGCTTTGTGTTTGCTTATTTTCAATAAAGATGCATGCTTTCAAAGCTTTAATAAGTTGGCTTTTCACAACGCAGTCAAGGTCTCTCGTGTAAACTCGTTTCTTTGAGAAGAGAAGGACTGAGGGTGGGGACAGACCTCTCCCACGGGCTCAGGGGGCTGTTTTGTCTGGTAACACGCCTCTGGTATTGGTGAGAGGTGTCTAATAACAACTTTGTATTGTGTTGGTTTTAAACTACTTTCATGCAGGCACAGAGTAAATTTGGAGATAAATAATGTATGTGAGTGGGAAATAATGTGAAGTCTGATGTATACACACACATGTAATGACGGTACTGTGTAGCCAGACCCCTATCACCTGCAATAACATTTAAGGTCCATCTATATGTAGGAAGACAAGAAAATAAACTGCAAGTTATTTTATTAGACAGGTGCAGCATTTCTTATATTGGTTTTCTTCTTAAAAACACCGATTTTAAAATAATTAAAAAAAAAAACCGACTTGCAATTTTTTCTCACCCATTCTCACAAATGTGTACCAAAAAAGCTCTGAAAAGAAGCTTAAAGATGTGAAACTTCCAGTAAGATGAGGAGGAGCAGAAGGCACTAGAATTGCATCCATAGGTAATGCTGTGTTGTATACCATGTGCAGTCCCAACAGGAAGGAAAGCTACCTCTAAACGGAAGTAAAAAGGCTGTGCAATGGTGCCTCCCACAGAATAACACCAAACAACTTTTATTAAAAACTCAACCTACTGCCCGGATGGTGTGGCTCAGTGGTTCAGTTTTGTGACCCCTGAGCCAAGAGGTCACTGGTTGGATTCCCAGGCAGGTCACTGCCCTGGTCACAGGCTGGATCCCCAGCAGGGTGGGTGCAAAAGGTAGAGAGTCAATGTTCCTCCACCAGCGATGATTTCATCTCTCCCTCTTTCTTCCTCTCTAAAAAATCAACACATTGCCAAAACCGGTTTGGCTCAGTGGATGTAGCATAGGCCTGGGGACTGAAGGGTCCCAAGTTTCATTCCAGTCAAGGGCATGTACCCAGGTTGCTGGCACATCCTCACTAGGAGGTGTGCAAGAGGCAGCTGATTGATGTTTATTTTTTATCGATGTTTCTAACTCTTTATTCCTCTCCCTTCCTCTCTGTAAAAAAAAAATAAAAAAAATCAATAAAATATATTTAAAAAAATAAAAAATCAAAACATTAAAACAAAACAACGTATTACAAGGTAACAGACGGGAGAGTGCATAGGAAAGTAATAAATCCTGTGAGTACAGGTCGGTCACACAATCGGAGGGCTTGTTCTGATTATTTTAAACAAAACCCACAAGGTTTTCAAATAAAATATTATTTCCCAGTCCGCTGGATGTTTCCTATTCTTCCCAGAAAAAAGCTGGGAGTGACTCAATTCTCGCGAGAACTTTGTACTCTCCCTCGGCCAGGAGGTAGTAGGAGTCGAGGCCAGGGATTGGCCAACTAGGAGGCGGGGCCTCTTCCGCCCCGCCCCCGTTGCCGGGATACGCGGAGGCGCGGGGCCTCCCGTGGTTTCAGCCCCGTGGGCCCCGGAAGGCTGCGCCAGGGTGGGCGAGTGGGCGCGTCCGCGGGGCGGACTGGTGCTCCCGGTGGTGGCTGGCTGAGCCGAGCCTGCCGACCTCCCTCCTCCTGCCGCGCCAGCACAGGTGAGAAATCCTGAGTCCCCTCTCCCCCCATCCCTCCGGACCCATTATCTCACCTTGGAGATGCTGCTGCGCTCAAACAAAACAAGTCCGATCTCTCCGTGTTTTAGTGATTCTCAGTCCGGTCGCCAGGCCAGAGCGTGCACGGACCCCTCTCGCTGTCCCCTGAGCAGACCTGCCAGGGCCAGGCCAATGGGAAGGATTCAGGAGCCGCAAAGGAACAATTCTTAGGGTTCAGAGATGTTACCCAAAATAATACAGATGTATGCCTGCCCTGTACAGCAGTGGGACTTAGCCATGTAACACTTCTTTATGTGTGTTACTATGGCTGGTTTAGGGAAGATAGGGATAGTAATCACAGTTAGGAGCCAGGTGTTGTACATATGCTATCTGTAATTTTAACAGCTCTGCAAGATAGAGGCTGTGGCCCCCTTCTGTTTTATAGCTGAGGATGCACCCCCAGAGGTGGTAGCTGTCAGAGCTGAAGTTTGTATCCTTTATCTTTCTGGAGTCAAAGGCCAGGCTTCTCTGAGTATGTATGAATAACCCCCAAATTAGTGGCTTTTTTGTTACTGGACTCCTCCCTTTTATATTGCCACCTAGGACTGATCTCCTACTGTGCTTTTATCATGATAGAAAGCAGTGGCAAAGAAAATGAGGTAGAAATCTGATACACTGTACATTTTATTTTTTAGAATATTTTAAAATTGACTTTAGAGGGAAAGAATCATTGATAGGCTGCCTCCTGCGCGCCCCCTACTGGGCATCCAGTAGCAGCTCTGGCATGTGCCCTGACCAGGAATCCAACCATGACCTCCTATATTCATGCTCAACCACTGAGCAACACTTTGGCTATTGTACACTATCTTATAGGTATCAGGAAAGCTAGAGTAAGGTTGTGTAATTCTGCTGGAAACAAAGGTTTATTGGTGTTAGCTTTCTTTGGGAGAAATAATTTTGACCATAGACCTTTTCTGCCTTTCAAAATGTTATTTCATAAAATTCCCTTTTCCGTTTGAAGTAATAATAACTCTCTTACTTTGTCCACCTAGTTCAAAATGGCAAGGAAATAGAACCGTAGAGCTAGCTGGAATGGGAAGATTTTCATTTTGGTGTGAACATACTAATAGGAAGTGATAATGGGATATCTGAGTAGAAATTTCCAGTAAACAGTTGAAAATTTAAAATTGGTGCCCAGGTTAAAGGACACACCTGGAGACATTGATTTATAATCATCAACATAGTTAGAGTTACAAGAAAAAGGATGAACGATTATAGAATAAAAGCAATCCAAGAAGCGGGCATGGAGTGTAGAAACTGAGAAATCATTTTAGTTCAAGAAATGATTTGTTTCTTTTTTTTTTTTTAATTGATTTCAAAGAGGAAGGGAGAGGGAAAGATAGAAACATCAATTATGAGAATCATTGATTGGCTGCCTTCTGCATGCCCCCCACTGGGGATTGAGCCTGCAACCTAGGCTTGTGCCCCTGACTGGAATCCAACTTGGGACCCTTAAGTCCACAGATCAATGCTCTATCCACTGAGCCAAACCAGCTAAGGCAGTTGTTGTAGTAAATGATTTCATGGTTCCAAATGGGACATTAATGTCAAATTGGAACAAAATGAAATCAGGCTTTGTAGTAATACCTGGAATGGCAATTTACAAGAAAAATCATTGTGGATTTTTGAAGGAAGGGTATGTGAGTCACTAGTGTCTAGCTATAGAAGATATCGAAGGAGAATTGAACTATTCCTTGTCTCTGAACAGTGGTTAACGTGAACAAACATGGCCAGTAATCACAAACCAGCAGCTGCTCGCCCTGTTTCCCGAGGTGGAATCGGGTTGACAGGAAGGCCTCCTTCTGGAATCCGACCCCCATCAGCAAACATTCGAGTGGCAACTGGAGTAAGTTTAAAATCTATTGAATTCTTGTGCATATATCTTGGTAAAGTTGTCTATAATAATAAATTCTTGCTTGCTCTTTCTTTTTTTTTTAAAAAAATATTTTATTGATTTTCTACAGAGAGGAAGGGAGAGAGATAGAGAGCTAGAAACGTCGATGAGAGAGAACCATCGACCAGCTGCCTCTTGCACACCCCCTACTGGGGATGTGCCCGCAACCAATGTACATGCCCCTGACCGGAATCGAACCTAGGACCTTTCAGTCCGCAGACTGACGCTCTACCACTGAGCCAAACTGGTTTCGGCATTGCTCTTTCTTTACTTTATGAACAGGCTGACTACATATTTGTTTTTTGAAAATGTTGAGAAGTATAAATGTGGGACAATGTCTGGAAGACACTGTAGAGAGAAGAGGCATGCTCATGCTGATATGCAAATGTATTTTAAAACTACAAGTATGCAAGTAGTGTAGTGTAGTAGTGTCAAAATCAAATGAAATGGATAGACCAGAAACAGAATCAAGACATGTAAAAATTTAATGACTAAGCTGGCATTTCAAATTAGTTGAAAAAGCATGGAGTATTCAGTAGTGCATTCAAATGACTTAAAACCATTTGTTTTTAAAAAATTGATCCCTTCCTCATTCATAATTTTAGATATGTTAGAAACTTTAAATTTAAAAATGGGGAAATGATAAATGTATAAGTGGAAAATATAGGGAAATATTTCATATAAACTTAGTATGGGCTCCGACTTTGTAAAATGACACAAATACTGAAAAAGAGGGTATTTTTATATTTTAATTCATCATATTGAAAACACTGTTGAACAGCTAAAAGAAAAATGGCAAACTGGTAAAGGAATATTTGCAATATACATGTCATACACAGTTCAGAATATTTTAAGAGTTCATTCTGTGTTAAACTTATAAACCAATCTAAATTCAATGAGATTTCTTCTGGTGGTAGTGTATGTGCGTGTGTGTGCACGCGCATGGGAGATATCATTTATAAAACTAAATTTTATCTAAAACAATAAGAAAGTACGATAGTTTAATATAAAAATATCTTATAAATAACAAGTAAAACAATGTTCTGGTTGCCATAGCAGTCTAGAAATAAACTCTAACAAATACTAAGAGCTTATATAAGAGTAGAGGCCTGTGCATCAAATTCATGCACTTGAGGGGGGTGTCCCCTCAGCCTACCCTGCTCCCTCTCACAACTGGGAGCCCTGGGGGGATGTCCGACTGACGGCTTAGGCCCACTAAGCCAGTGTTTTTCAACCTTTTTTGGGCAAAGGCACACTTGTTTCATGAAAAAAATCAAGAGGCACACCACCATTAGAAAATGTTAAAAAATTTAACTCTGTGCCTATATTGACTATATATAAAGTAATTCTCTTGAATAGGAATCAAATAAACACAAAGAAAGTATTTTATAATTACTTTATTATGAAATATTAAGTAAACAAAATAGTGAAAAATTATAAAATTCTTGTCTTGTCTGCACCTACGGCACACCAGGCAACATCTCGCCGCGGAACAGCGGTTGAAAAACGCTGCACTAAGCCATCAGGAGGCAGGAAAGGCTCCCAGCACTGCCGCTGTGCTCACCAGCCATGAGCTTGGCTTCTGGTTGAGTGGTGCTCCCCCTGTGGGAGCACACTGACTATCATGGGACAGATCCTGCATTGAATGTCTGCCCCCTGGTGGTCAGCACGCCTCATAGTGACTGCTCATTCCACCATTCAGTTGTTTGCATGTTAGCCTTTTATTATGTAGGATATGCTGTAGATGAGGCCCCCTAGAACCATAGGAAATGCAACAAATTCACTGTTAACTCATTCTTGAATTGCTCCCACTTAAAAGCAAATTCCCCCCCTCCTGCCTATGGGGCATGTGTTACACCTTGGGAACCACTGGGCTTGACACTTCCTCTCTGAGCTTCATTTCTGAATACATACACGTAGACCATGGGAACTATAATCTCTTCTCCGCCTACTTTACTGGGTTGTCATGAGGAGGTTCTGAGCTAATAAACCTAGAAATGTTTCATTAAGTAAGTAATGTCTACACAGGAAGGGATTGTTATTTTTAAGCTCATATATACGCTCGCAGGTAGCAGGTGCCTGATTAGGGGAGGAGGGCATGATTGTTCCCTGGGACTGTGGCTATGGAAGCTTTGCAGAGGGATCCACAGGCCGTGGAGGGGCGGGCTCTGGGTAGCAGTGGTCTTCCCTGGAGGCGCTGGCAGGGGGCAGAGCGTTAGGAGGGCTCTATGGGAATAGTGAGGCTGAAGGGGGAGTAACTGTCAAACCTTCCTGCTTGTCGCCGTTCTTTAAATTGTACCTGGCTGTTTCACAGCTGTACCTGCTCAGGGCGGAGCTCCAATCTCCTGGAGTCGGTAGGTGCTAGGCCAGGGCGGGTTTAGCTATATCCCCAGTGAGGTGTGGCACACTTTGCAGTGGAGGTGGCACTGCTGCTGTTGGTTGGGGGGAAAGGGTCTGACGCTGGGAGGCCGCTTGGCCCTGCCTCCGCCCGGGTGTGGAATTGTAGGGATGAGAGGCGTGCCTGGCCCTAGCGGAGGGGGCCTGGCAGAGGTGGACTGCAGACCCCGGGTGCCTCAGAGGTGCTGAGGGATGGTCGGGTGGTCGCCGGCATGCTATTGTTGTAGGGGCGTTGGGGGAAGAAATCGGGAGTCTGAGGTGCGGGCTGTAGCTACCCCCAAGCTGGGTCATCTCCCTATCCACCCGGGGTACGGGGGATGGGATAGGTGTTGGTGCAGGGGGATTGGAAGGGCTCCCCTTGGCCACTTCCCTTCCTTCTTTGCAGTCTGGGCTCCTGTCAGGCACACTCCTCAGACCCCCTGCTGTGTGTGCAGCCTCCTGCTGGTCCGTCAATATGAAAATTGGTCCTTACTGGGACACCTTAACATATTGCCTCTTTATATGTATTAGAGAGTGTCATAAATAAGTGAATCAGAGAAAAATATATTACAACAAAATGTATTAACTTTATAAACTGATAATTCTAAGCAGACTAATATCCTATAAAGATATCAATGCTGAAAACACCAGATGACAAAATAAAAATGAACTATAATAATTATATAGAGATAACCATGGTTATTTGTTACTATTTTTTGTATAATCCTCCAGACTTTTTGCTTTACAAAATGAAATTATAAAATATTTTTTTGTAAACTTATTTTGTTATATACTACAACTTATTTAGCTATTAATTTATGGTTATATGAGGAAAAATATCTGGACATTTAACTCCTTTCCAGTTTTGAAGTATCATGAAGTCTACATATAGAAAATTAAAATTTAAAGCATTTTACTTAACACTATTTTATATTTCAACCAAAAAATATGGGACTATTTTATAAATTATGTCAAACTGAGATTTTAATATTCTCTTTTTGTTCTTCATAGAAAGAGTTACAGTGCTTCACAGTGTTTATTAAAAGTGAGATCTTGTCTGTTACTTAGATATCACCTGGAACCGCAAGACCAGGCTCCCGTGGAGGCCTCATAGGGACAGGAGTTCTGTCTTCTCAGATTAAAGTTGCAGATCGTCCAGTAACACAACAAGGTTTGAGTGGAATGAAAACTGGGATTAAAGGTATCTATTTTAAGAAGATGAATACATTTTACATAAGAAATATTGCAGTACCACATTACTAAATCAGAATTACAGAGTGAAAGAGGCATTTTTACTCATTTCTTATTCTGTGATTCACAAAATAAGAGAATAACATTATTAACTGCAGAGCTATTCTATATGATAAAAGGCTATATTGCAAATCCACAGGGGGAGCACTGCTCAGCTAGAAGCCAGGCTCACAGCTGGCAAGCCCAGAGGCGGTGGTAGGAGCCTCTCCCACCTCTGCAGCAGTGTTCAGGATGTCCCACTGACAGCTTAGGCCCGCCCTAAGTCATCAGTCAGACATGCCCCGAGGGCTCTTGGTCTGCAAGAGGGCATAGGCCAGGCTGAGGGACTTTTCCCCTCCAGTGCACAAATTTTGTGCACCAGGCCTCTAGTTTACATATGTGAAATATTTTTATCTTCATTTCTAAACGTGGAGGTTTGGTACAAATTCAAAAAATTTGAAATAAATTGAAGAAAAGCTTAAGAATAAAAACAAACAAACAAACAAAAAAGGCATAACAATACACTATATTATGATTCAAATAATTGGTCACACACACACACACACACAAGCATACATATATATATGTATATAAAAGCATGGTGAATTGTTTTATTTTCTATATTTGTGGCAAAGGATTTATCAGGAATGAAGAATTTCATTGGTACAGAATTAACTATAAGATATTATAATACCCTTTATAATATTGTATATCATGCCTTTTAGGAGACTTCATTTTCTTACTTGTATTATAACAAACTTAGCTCACAAAATATTAAAAACCAATAAATTATTTAGAAATGCTTGGTTAATCAATACTGTGGGAAAAAATGAGTCAAAATTATGTAGTTGTTTAGTCTTTAAAACTCTATTCATGGAAATGTTTGGGTGTTTAATATTACCATATAGCTTATTAAACATTAACAGTAGAAACATATGAAATTATATAAATAATTCAGTGAAGAAAGGTAGGGGAGGTTGGGTGGATGGGAAGAGATCAACAAAAGAACTTGTATACATGTATACATAACCCCTGGACACAAACAATAGGATGGTGAAGGCCTGGGTGTGGGGGTGAGAGGTCAATGGGGGGGAAAAAAGGGGACATATGTAATACTTTCAACAATAAAGATTATAAAATAATTCAGTAAGTATTTGTACTTTATTAATTTCTCCTTCAAAACAGGACCCAATATCATTTAGTCAGTTTCTACCAATATATTGCAAAGCCTTGTGTAAACATTTTTATTGTTACCGCTATCTGTTGTGATTTTGTCCTGACCTATTCTAGTGTCCCATTTCCCATCCTAATAAGACATTCTCTCCCTCTCCTCCCCTAAGACCTCCCTAGCTTTACACCTCACACCTTGCAGGGCACTTTATCTGCCTCAAGATTTGGGACATTTAACCTAGGAGTACTTTCCGTAGTCCTGAAATATAAGATCATGTGTATAAAAAAGTCTCTGAGACAAATTATGAAAAATCATCATCTCTTGCATTGACAAGTTCAGTCTAAAATCTGCACTGTCCATCATGCTAGCCAATAACTACATGTAGCTATTTAAATGTAAATTAATTAAAATTAAGTAAAATAAAACTTGAGTTTCCCAATAGCTCCAGTCACATTTCAAGTGCTGGTAATCCCATTTATTGGGCAGTACAGATATAGAATATTTTCTTTATTGCAGAAAGTTCTCTTTGATAGCCCTTTTCTAGACTCTCTTTGACCAAGTTTCCATTCAGTCAACCTGTGTCTTAAGCTCATTTTTGTGGCTTTACTCAAGTTTCTATTATATCATAATGGTAAGACATTAGTTCTCATTTCCATTTCAATGATTCTTGTTGATTATCTGATTTATTGGCACATTCATGAGGACTGTCAGAAAATTTTGTGGTATAATTCTGTTTATGCTTTTGATTTGCTGTTTTGGTGGCATTTTCGAACTGAATACTAATGCTTAAAAAACATTTTTTTTTTAGGTCCCCAGAGGCAAATTTTAGACAAATCTTATTATCTTGGGCTTCTTAGGTACGTTAAATAAATGTGTTTTTTTCTAGGCATTACATGAAGTTTTAAGATAATTAGGCATATGTTGATTTATAAGAATTATTTTGTGCTCTAACATAATTTTTGGATAATTTGGCTGTATTACAAAATACATGTATAATGCAAAGTTTTACCTAAATATATAGAGTGTCTCAAAAATGTATATGCACTTTGAATGATTATAAAGTCAGTGTTTATTAATATACAGTTCATTTTCAAAATTTAAAAATGTCTATGGAAATAAATATTTTTGTTGTTGCTGTTAATGCCTATTTTCAAACTGATGACCGTTCTGGTTCAGGCACTGCTGATTATGTGAAGCGATGCAATTGCAAATATCCTGAATCATTTTGGCTCGGCTTGTGTGGCTCAGTGGTTGAGTGCTGACCCATGCACCAAAAGGTCTGGTTCTATTCCCAGCCTGGGCACATGCCCAGGTTGTGAGCTTAATCCTTGGTGGAGGGGTGGGAGCAGGTATGCAGAAGGCAGCTGATCTATGTTTTTCTCACATTGATGTTTTTCCCTCTCTCCGTCTTTCTGAAAAAATCCATACAAACAATAAATCCATAAAAACAGTATGGCTTGATGGTTGGAGGATTGAAGGCTCAATTCCTAGTCAAGGGCACTTGCCTGGATTGTAGGTTTGCTCCCTGTTCCCTGGTTGGGGTGTGATCAGGAGGCAGCCAGTCAACGTGTCTCTCTCATATCAATGATGTTTCTCACTCCCTCCCTCCCCCGCTCTCTTCCTCCCTTCTACTCTCTGAAAAGCAATGGGAAAAATGTCTTCTGTTGAGGATTAACAAAACAAAAATTTCAATAAAAACGTATTTTTAAAAAAAAGAATTATTTTGTTGGGTATTTGTGCACCCTCAATTTGTTAACTTTTGCTGGTTTTATACCAAAAACTTTACATATATATATATATATATATATTTGTATTGATTTTTTACAGAGAGGAAGGTAGAGAGACAGAGAGCTAGAAACATTGATGAGAGGGAAACACTGACCAGCTGCCTCTTGCACACCCCCTACTGGGGATGTGCCCGCAACCAAGGTACATGCCCTTGACCAGAATTGAACCTGGAACCTTTCAGTCCGCAGACTAACGCTCTACCACTGAGCCAAACCGGTTTCGGCTAAACTTTATCTTTTATGTAACCTCATAAAAAAGTCTAATAGATAAACCTTTGTTTGAAGCTTATTCTGGCTTCACCCTTTATTTTAAATCTGTCAAATCTGAAAACAAGTGAAAAATAAGTGAGTTATCAGCTGTTAAAATGTCTATACATTATTTTTTTGGGGGGGACCTGTGTTCCAAAAAAAAGTATGCACATTTTGAGTAATTATCTTTCAATTACATATCTTTCAATTGCATTTTCAAACTTCCAGTAGCATTTTAGGATGAATTTTCTTTGTTCAAAGCTAACTGATAGTCTGGCTGAAAAGAAAGAAACATCAACTGAAATGTTAGCGGTTAAAGTGTGTATACATGTTTTTGGGACACCCTGTAGATTTGGTGAGTTGTTACAAATGTGGCCAAATTTTAATTAATTCCTAAGCTTTGTTATATATCTCTATGCAGCTCTAAATCAAGAACATATGTCTTATTTTCTACCTACCTTTTTCCTCTGCTCAGATATCCTACTATCTTATTTCCATTTTCCCATTTTACTTTATTTTCTTCTTTGCTCTTCATTTATACCTTCTTTCTCTCTTATTTCCACTTCACCTAATCCTCCTATTGTGTCCTAAAAGTTCATTTTTCTTTTAGTCCTTCTTGATTGTTTTCTCGATTACGTGAGGCTTTTTGATTCTCCAACTTCTAGAATAAAGAGAAGTCTGTTTTTCCTATCTACTTTTGAAGCTAACATCAATGAGAAAGTGAAGCCATCATTGTATAGCATCTCTTGATAGCCAGACACTTTTTATTCAAAAGAAGGAAACAAAATAAAGCCATTTGTCATCGTTGCTTGCCTCTCTTCTCCAAGATTTGTGATTCTGCACCAAAGAAGAGTAGTTCTAGCTACTTGTATAATTGATTGATTCTAGAGCAGTGTTCAACTGGTGGTGATTTTGCTTCCCAGGGAACATTTGCCAATTTTTAGGCCCATTTTTGGTTGTCATAATTGAGGTTCGGAGGATATGGTACTGGCATCTAAACTAGGGATGCTGTTAAATATCCTACACAGCAGAGGATGGTCCCCCCACTCCATGCCAAGGTATTGCTTAGTCAGTCATCTCACTCTTGAGACACCCTGTCCTAGAGGGAAGCAGGAGCTGTGAGAGTGACAGGCATCTACTTCTGTCTCTGGATTGTACCAGTTTGACCAGGTTTCCATTCTGGTCCTATGTCATCTTTCTTATTGAGTAGAGAATCTACGTTAGCTTTTTATCCGTTGGGATATATCTCATTCTTAAATAAGCCACTGAAATTATTTTTAAGTGAAATTTCACAAAACCATTTATATTATTATTACACATTTATGAAAAGTTTTTTGTTTGATTAGAAAGTCTTTTCTTGACTAGAAGTACTGCTGACTTATTTTTTTTTTTCATTTAGAAGTAAAATAAATGAACTTACAACAGAAATCAATAAACTTCAGAAAGAAATAGAAATGTACAATCAAGAGAATTCAGTTTATTTGTCATATGAAAAGAGGTGAGTAATTTTGCAGCTAAAATATGCAAGATCTTTTTATCAGTAGCATTTAATGTGATATATTTCAGGAATTTTATACTGAATTTGTTCATAATGTTCATTTGTTTATTTATATATTTATAAGTGTATTTATTTTATGCTTGCAGAGCTGAGACTTTAGCTGTTGAAATCAAAGAGTTTCAAGGACAACTAGCAGACTATAACATGGTATTTGCTTTTTCGTAGAGATTTTCTTTGAATATTTTTATTGCTTTTTACCACTTAAAAATGTGTTATTTTAAATACCAATTAATATGTGAATACATGCATATTGTAAAAGATTAAAACTATAGAAAGTGCAGAGATTAAAGTGTTGTGGTCTTGGCCTGGTAGCTCATCTGGTTAGATCGCTGTCCTGATTCGCAAGGTTGCAGGCTTGATTTCTGCTTAGAACAAGTATAAGAAGCAACAAAATGACATCTCTCTTTCCTCTTTTTCCCTCTCTCCCTTCTTCTCTCTCTCTAAAAGTCAATAAAAAATTAATAAATAATTTACATTTTTACTGGTGTAATTTAAAACAGTTAACATCCATCTCCCCTGGGGAAGAGGGGAGGGAGGGAGGAAGAGTTTGGAGAGTAGTTGAAGAGATCTTCTCCAAACTTTTTTCTTCTCTGGACCTTTCTTTATAAGCTCAGACATCTCAGAGCAGGCAAAACTCTTCAAGGTACAATCTGCAGGAACAGTAGTGGTTCATTATTGCTTACTTTTTTATATTCCTAAAAATGTAGTTTATTGATTGGCCAAAAGCACAGTGTATGCTTACTTAGGTAGCTTACTATTTGTTTTTATCTTAGGAGATAAAATACTTGGAAGTAGTCATACTTAGATGAGTATTATTTGTAAGATTGAATACCTATATGATGGATTAAGAGAAATTTTATACACTAATAGAATGTATTTTTTGTGTATTTTTATTTTTAGTTGGTAGATAAACTTAATACCAATACTGAAATGGAAGAAGTAATGAATGATTACAACATGGTAAGAAAATTTATGAGCTGTAGATCAATTTAGATCATATCCTCCAAAATAAACCTTATGGACCATAGAAATAGGTATTACTCTAATCCCAAATACCACTATTATAATTGAGTTCCTTAGTTGTGCTTTTAAAATTATTTCCGGTTCTCCCAAGTGGATGATACCATAGTGTCTTTCAAAAGGCTATGTTTTAACAGGTCCTGCATTTAGCATTAGTTAGGGAGTCCCATCCACATTTTCTTATATACACATTAATTTGCATATAAATTTATTTGAATTAATATTTGCATAAATGGAACTGAGTACTCAATGGATATATTATGGTACCTGTATAGAGTTCTATAAGAAAGTGAGAAAAACAAATAGTTATATGATGTCAGACATTAATACTACTTTTGATTGGTAAATGAGATGTTAACATCTAGTTTATTTGAATTATAAACACTTGGATGAAAATAACAAGCAACTTATGATTTACATAGCTTATCATTTATTTACACATTCAAAGTTCTATAAAATCATCTATAATAATAAAAATGTAATATGCTAATTAGACCAGACAGCCGGATGGCCTTCTGGATGAAGCTTGGGCTGTGAGGGCCGAGGCAAGCCATGGCGGCTGTGAAGGTGGAGTCCCTTACACAAATTTCATGCATCGGGCCTCTAGTAGAATTTATAAAATTTTCTAAATTGGGTTCTAAAAGCATGATAACTTAGTGAAATTATTCTTGACTTTTAGAACACAGGAGAAATCCCAATTGGAAAACTATTTTAAAAAATATATTTTATTGATTTTTTACACAGAGGAAGAGAGAGGGATAGAGAGTTAGAAATATCTGTGAGAGAGAATCATTGATCAGCTGCCTCTTGCACACCTCCTACTGGGGATGTGCCCTCAACCAAGGTACATGCCCTTGACCGGAATGGAACCTGGGACCATTCAGTCCACAGGCCGACGCTCTATCCACTGAGCCAAACCAGTTTTGGCTGGAAAACTATTTTTAATGCGAAATGTAAAAAGCAAAAATTTCTCCATGTGTTTTGTCAGTTATTTGGGGTAGATCCAAATTCTAGACTGAATATGTACAGGTAGAGTCATGTAAAATGCTGAATTATTTAAGAATAAAATTTGTGTTGTGTCTAAATTTAACATATTATTAACCAACTGTGAAGGACCCAATAAATACTTGAGATTTTTATTTCATAAATTAAGTTTACTTTGGAATATTTGACAAAATGAATACTTTTGATATGAGATTACCATGTCTGTGAAAAAGACTAAAAAATATCTGGTATGCTGATTTGTTATTGAAATAAATACTATATATTTTAAAAAATTTTTCATGTAGCATTAGAATTATTATAATAATCTCTCATTTAGTTTATAATCTAAATAACCTTTAAATAGTTTGATTTAAATGGCAATTTCTTATCCCTCACTGTTGTGTTAACTCTTTATTTAGCTTAAAGCTCAAAATGATCGAGAAACACAAAGTATGGATATCATATTTACAGAAAGACAAGCGTAAGTACAATCGATATAGAAATAAAACATTTATAAGTGAGTTGTATTAGGTAGTTTAACTTCTGAGTTATGTACTTCCTTACAGATTTTCTTGTTTTTCCCGGTTGCGTTTTTTAATTTAAAAAAGTTGAATATTTGCAATGTAAATTATTATATACACAGCTATTGTCTTTATTTACTACTAAGTACTGAAATTCTGTACAAATAAAAGCATTATATAGATTAGATAGATATAATTTCTACTTCTCAGAGTTTAAAAGTCTTAAGATGGATCAAACATCCTTATCTCTACGGTTTATAATTTTAACCTGGGCTTTTTAACTAATTTGAAGTATGAGATTTAAACCCCTGTCTAATGAAAGGCACATTACTTGTAGTATTTCATTATCTCATATATTATCCAATTATTAATTGATAATAACTAGACTAAATCCATGTCAGAGATTTAGATTATATGTGCATCTTTATATATTACTGGTTAAAGATTAAATACCAAGGGAATTATGGCAGTGACACTAATGCCTATAAAATAATAAGTGGATGTCTGTTTGGGCTGCTATAACACCATATCATAGATTGGATATCTTATAAACATCAGGAGTTTATTGTTCACAGTTTTGGAGATAGGGAAGTTCAAGATCAAGGCACAATGTGGTCCCTTTCCTGTGAAGGTCCTCTTCCTGGTTCATGCCTGGAGCCTTCTGGCTGTGTCCTCTCCGGGTGGAAGGGTCTGGGGAGCTCTGGATCTCTTTTTTTTGTTGTTTAAATATACTTTATTGATTTTTCTTACAGAGAGGAAGGGAGATTGAGATAGAGAGCTAGAAACGTCGATGAGAGAGAAACATCAACCAGCTGCCTCTTGCACACCCCCTACTGGGGATGTGCCCGCAACCAAGGTACATGCCCTTGACCGGAATCAAACCTGGGACCTTTCAGTCCGCAGACGGACGCTCTACCGCTGAGCCAAACCGGTTTCGGCTCTGGATCTCTTTATAAGGGCACTAATCTCATTTACCAGAGTTCTATCCTCATGACCTGCTCACCTCCCAAAGTTCCCACCTACTAATATCTTACCTTTGGGGGTTAGGATTTTTACAAGAACTTTATAGAAATGCAAATATTCAGACAACAGCTGTGGTTAACATAATTTTCTTCATCTGCATTTTGACCTTAAATATTGTCTAAGGCAATATAAACATAGATGAGCTATTTTGTACATACATTTACTACCTACATTTTGCCCCCAAAAATATATCAACAATAATCTCTTTGAGAGCAAGGATAATAATTTACCAAAATTACCAAAGTTCTGTAACACCAAATATACTGTCATGTTACCTCTGCAGTAAATATTTAATGAAAACTAGGATGTTAGAATATAATAATAAAACTTTTGAAAGATTTATTTGATGCTCCTGTAAAATGCTGTCTGAACAATTACATAAACTGGGAGTGTCTTCCCTTGTACAAAAAACATTCCATATTCCTGGTAACCCAGCTCTTACATGAAAACTTTCCTTTTTGTTATTGTTGTTCTATTATTTAGTACAAATAGTTATCACTTACTTTATATAAGATACTCTTCTAGGTTTTTAAAGAATAAGAAATAATAAGCTATAGCCCACTGAAGACCTTATGATATTTATGATATTTATGTCCTCATTTATTTCATCATTTATCTATAAACTTACATAATACCTAGGTCAGATTTGTAAGTATTATATGTACATGTTTCATAGATAATTCATCCTAAATGATAAATCATAGGTTGTAAGTTTGAGAATGTTACAGATTTTTTATTTCTATTTGGTTCATTTGGTTGAAGAAATAGTTCTTAAAATATACAAGTTTGTTCTAAAAATGTCAGCAGTTTAAAACTTCAGATCTATAGTTTGTAATTGAGGCTGAATGAAATAGGTTATCCTGACCCTTTCAAGAAGAAATTTAAGTTATGAACAAAAGTTATTTTATGAAGTTTACTTTTATATGCAGCAGTAAAATAAATTTATTGTATGTATTAAGCAAATAACCAAAATCTCAATAACACAAAGATCTTGATACCCCTCATTCAGAGGGAGCAGGAAATGCCATACCTTTCGAAGGAAGATGTAAAAAACTTCTGTTTTCACGCTCTTCTACCTTAATCTCACCATTTAGTATGGTTTATTATTGAACATCTATTCACAAGTTGGTTATAATATATAGCCTCAATATATTACTACAATTCTTACACACCTGACTTTAATTCAGTTACATACAGCTGCATGAGCTAACGATTCTTTTCAACTTCTGATGTAGATACTTTTCTAATTTGGTATTAGTCAAGATCAGTTATCTTTTAAAAACATATGTAATTACAACTTTAAGCCCATTTATGTATTTTTGTTTAGTCAGATATTTATTGACTACCCAATATTCATTTAGAAGAGATTAATGTAGTCTTTACTGATTCATAATTTCATTTTACTCTGCTTCTCAAATATTAATATTTGCCTCTTAAATTACGACATATTTGGTAAAATGATAGATTATTTAGAAAAAGATTCTTCATGTTTTTATTATCTCATTTATACTTCAGATTGAGAATAATGAAGTATTAAGAAATAGTATGCATAAAGCACTTGTATTCTTTAATGAATATTGAAAACATTTTGATAAACACAAGCAAATATGCATGATAAATGAGTTCATTTTCTATTTCACTGGGTATATCATCGCAAACATTTTTTGTTTTCATCATAGACATTTGAACTGAATTTATGTATTGATACAACCTTTAAAATGACTGCGGAATGTAACGTACATGTACATTATTTGTAGTCTCTTTTTTTTTTCTAAGAAAGTACCAAGTAAATACACATTTTTAAAACTGCATTATAGAGAAATTTGAACAAAAATAAAATAATGTACTATTGTCCTGTGTACCCATGACCCTGCTCCACCTGTCCACAATAAACCTTGCTTCATCTATACCCTTAGCCATTGTTCCCTTTTCTGTACTATGAAGAAAGTCTGAAAGATCATTTCACCCATGAATACATTTCAGTGTTTTAGAGATATTTCCTGTAAATGATAGAGATAAATACATTTAACCTTCCCACATACGATAGATTTTTTCCTCTCTTTTTTATTAAGATATTATATGTGTACATATCTTACCATTGCCCCCCCCCCCCGATATAATATATTTTGTTACAGTTTGTAATGCCACTGTTTCCATTAAATTAATAAAATTGTGATTATAGCCAATGGATTATAAGGAGTTGACTTTTATACTCTTCCTATAATAGTCTCAAGGCCAGTGTTTTTTAGACTACGCTCTTTGGACCCTTATTGTGCTATGAGCTCTTAGTAGCCATACCTCAAAGAAAAGTTGGAAAATTCTTGATACTTTGCCTTTAGCTTAATAAAGTTTTGGATGAGTCCTATATAGTAAAGAATCTTATTTCACTTTGTTTAAACCTAATATTTCCTCTAGTAATTCTTTAGTAATTTGACCATTTACATATCGATATTTCCCCCCTATTAATACTTCTGACTTCTCTCTGGAAATTGATGTTCTAGAAAATAGTTTGGGAAACATTCCTTCATGATCTGGTTCCCAAACAGTTGTTCATGGACCAACTGAAGATTTCTCAACCCTAAAACAACTTATTTGAATAGAAATCTCCCTAAGAGAGGCAGACATATGTATTTTTTAAAAATAAGATTATTTATAGATAATTTTGATACCCTGCATGTGGTGACAAACTTTATAACCCAGATCAGTAGTAACTTATTAGGGATTGTGCCTGGACATTGTGCTATGCTCTAAATTTCTACTAAGTTTTCAGGGAATTATTGTGTTAATTCAGGAAGCATTAAGAAAATGTTTTCCAATTCTTTGAATTCATTCTGTGAGCATAAAAAAAAATAAATCCAAGTGCATTGTCAGTTTAAGCTATCTCTGTTCCTTACTCTGACTCATGATATAAATCCAAAAATCTTTCTCTACTGATTCCAATAAGTAAAACTTGAATATAACTTATCTGTATTATATCCAATATCTGAACTAATATGAGAATCAGTTTATTTCAATTAATAACTTACTTTAGGCTTTTTTTTTTTTTTACTAGTATATATAGTCTTCTGAATACTGCTGAGAATAGTATTGTAACTGTTAGCTACCAAGGAGTGCCAGTTACTGTATTTGGATACCAATGAGAAAAACATAATTTTATTATATTAATATGTGTTGCAATTAATATGAAGGTCTACTAGCTATAGTTAGGTATATCACACATAAAAATCTCCATGTCTAAACAGTGAACTGGTAACATGTTTAAAATAATAAAAAATTGAAAGAAATTAATTTTCTTTACATAATTCATGAGTATCTATGTATTTATCTTCAATAAACCCATCATCATCCACTACAAATGAATGTAGTTGTTCAAATATTACTGTAGTGTCTTCAGAGTTTGTATCTGGTATCTGTGAAAGAGAACTTGGATTTTGGGTAAAACCATCTTCATAGGTTTCTACTTCATGTTCTTCCAGGTGATGATGTTTATAACTGATCAGAGAATTATACCATATTGGCAATTTGATAGCAATAAAAATGAGGAGAGAAGTCACCAGTACAGTCATTACAACACCAACAAGAAAAGCCCAGCTTTTTCCAAGAGGTCCACGTTCTTAAATAGGATACAGAGACAGAGAGAATGAGAGAGGGAAGATATTTTGTTAAAATGACAACAAAAATTACAGATCTTAATAACTCCCAAATATTGGTATTAGAAATGAATGTACTTTATAATTTTCTTTAAGTAAAAGTTAATAAAACTACAACATAAAGACATAAAGATATTTCCTAGAGTGGTAAAAGAATAATTCCTGTCTTTACAGGTATTGTTTATCCATTGACCTAGGAACATTGTAAGAATTGTGACTTGCCCTGGCGATTTGGCTCAGTGGTTAGAGTTGGCCTGCAGACTGAAGGGTCGGGGTTTGATTCAGATCAAGGGCTCAGACTTTAGTTACAAGCTCCATCCCCAGGCCTCCGTCCCCTGGACAGGACACGTGTGGGAGGCAACCAGTCAATGTGTCTCTCTCACACTGATGTTTCTCTCTGTCTCTCTCTCCCCCTTCCTTCTACTCTCTCTAAAACTTAGTGGAGAAATATCCTCAGGTGAGGATTAACAAAACAAAAAAAGAATTGTGGCTTTACTGTGTAGTTAAAATTAAGCCTAAGAGTAGTTAAATAATATGCCTAGTGGCATTTGCCTGATAATTAGCAGAACCTGTTTTGGAAACCCAGTATTTTGTAAATCTTTTGTTGACATGAGGAATTTTACATTGTTTCTAGTAACTTAAAATTTAAATTTTAGTATGCTATCTTCAGCATTGTTAATATTCAATACCAGTACATTACCTGAATTTCTTGTTAAGTTGTTCAAAGAGCTATTAAATGTTGAGTTGCTAATAGACTGAAAATTAATCTGAAGGTCTTCAGTTATAGGTGAAGGAAGTTTTGAGTAGCATTCAGCTTTGTAAGGTACTGTTTTGATGCTGTAGCATTTCAGTTTATCTGGGTAGCTGCACATGGTGATGTTCTCATTTTCTAGTAAATCAAAGGATAAAATATGATTTATTATGGAAAATAAAATAATATGGTTAATAACATTTTATAGTTATTTAAATTAGAATTTTTGACATGTCATTATTGGTATTATAAGAAACTCTTATTACCTAGCAACACAAGGGAAAGATGCACATATCTGTTTATTAAGTTACTTTATAAATGTAGCTTAAGTACAGTATCTATATGTTGTTTAGTTTGTAATAGTAAAGATGTTATTAAGATTGCAATGAAAATCTGGGGAAAATGGGAGACTTTTCTGGGGCGAAATAACCAAAAATCAATCACATTTTGGTTTTGATTAATTTAATAATGATAGCTTACCTAATTTTACATTGGATGTGTTTAGCCAATTCTGCAAATTCAGTAAATTACAGGAGCAGTTCCATGGATTTCCATGTAAAACGATTAATTCCAGATGAAGCAGTTGTGGTACATCAAAATAGCTTATCAAATTGCCTTGCAGATTCAGAAGTTTCAGGTTTTTAAGAGGCACAAATATGTCAGGACTCAGTTGTAGTATTTTGTTCTGGCATAGATATAACTGTTTTAGTGTAGTTAAGCCTGTAAATGCACCCTGTTGAATTGTGTGGATAGAGTTTTGACAAATATTTAAAATTTGTAGGTTGGAGAGGTTACCAAAACTATTATTATATAAGATGGTGACACTGTTTTCAATCAAGTAGAGCTCAGTGAGTAAATAATACATCTGTAGAATACTTGTGTCTGTAATATTCAGAGTAATTTGGTTATAACTGAGATCAAGTATAGTAACCTCTTTATTGATATCCGCTGGAATCAAATAATAATTCTGTTTAGTGAAATTGCGTTTGACTTCCTAAAAAATGAAAAAGAAATTTATTAATCAGAAAATATTAACAGAATTTTCTAAATTTCATATCCTAGCAATTAAATATTGGAAGGAAATAGTTTAGAAAAATATCTATTGTCTAATCTTCCATTATTATAGTTTGAAAAAGGAAAAGCAGATGCTTTTATTTCTTTATTGGGCTGAAATATTGAAGATTAAAGAAATTCTGATATATATAATTTGTTGAGCAAGGAGATTCTAGTTTGTCATACAGGTATCTTCCAACTGTTATTGTGTAATCATTACAGAAAGAAAGACTTTTGGTGTATTCCCATTTGTATATGTGAAAATACATGATGAATATTAATTCTGTTAAAAAATGAAGTCTGCTTTTGTCAAATTAGAATCTGGCTCAGAGATCACAGATTTTGAATATACCCAGCTAACTAAAGAGTTAGTTTTGATGGCTTGGTTTAGATTTTTTGTTTCTTTGCTTTCTTTTATTACTTTGTCACATTCAAAGTGTACCTTTGAAAATATTTTCACTGTCTTAATTGTAAAAACTTACTGTTTTAAAAGTCTGGCTTTCATCTGATAATACTAGCATGAAGAAGGGCCAGAACAAGATCGGAATGCGTGCGGCTTTCATACTGCAGGCCTGATGGGAAAGAGAGCCATGTCAGTAGGTGACTAGCACTTCCGAGATTACTGAAGACATTCTGCTTTCCTTTTTTCTTCTTTTAAATCTATTTTTTCTTAAAATATATAAAATGTGAAACAATTACACGTTCCATTTCTGTACTTTAATCTTCACAAAGTAGAAAGCTTCTGTGGAGAATGGAAGTATTTTTTTTAAGTGTCTCATTAGTTTCTAGATCTATTGAAAATAAGGTCCAAAGTATATGTATTTATGTATATGTGCGTAAGTATACTCTCTTTTCTTTATATTTTTATCACCATTTATCTCCCCTATATCCTCTTTCACTTCTACCCCCACTTCCCATAATCACCACACTGTTGTCCATGTCAGTGAGTAGTATATTCTTATATTGCTATTTCTTGTTTTTATTTTTTTATTTTTTTATTTTAGGTGTTCTTTGTTGGTATTATCCATTTACCTACAAGTGTAGGAGATAAGGGTCTTTGGTTCTCTTTCAAACACCCTCTACTTTCATCTCTAACACAAAATATATATATATGTCCTGTCTCTTTAGTCTTCATACGTAGTTACTTATAATTTGGGTTAGATGAGTATTCCATGTGTCACAAATGTGTAAATGTTATCAATGTCTGAGCCATATTATAGGATTGCTTTTCTGTTCCTGCTCACAATTTTTTACTAAATTAAATGTACTTTATTTAAAAATGTGCTTTTTTATGTGCTTAGTTTCCTTTTTCTTCTTCTTCTTTTTGAATGCATTTATACCCAAACCCTTCTTTAACAAATCACCCAATGTTGTATGCATTTCTGATATTTAATCTGCTTAACGAAGTCTCTCCCAGAGCCTGTTGCCATGCTGTGACCTGGAGGGACTGGTGACTGTACCCTCTACACAGCCGCTGACCTCCACTCCCCTTCCGCCCTGCGGAAGACATTCCCTTTTGTCTTTATGGCTGATGCCTGTGCTCTAGAATGCCTGTCTTGGATTACTGGGGGTTTTTTTGGTGTGTGTTGTTTTTTTTGTTAATGGAGTTTCCTGCAATAGCTTCCTAAGGAGGTCTATAGGTGGGACTTTTTTTAGACCTTGAAAGATAATTTGGTTAGAAGTACAGTTATAAATAGGAAATAGTTTTCTCTCAAACTCTTGGTGGCATTGCCCCATTGTTGTAGGGTTTGTAGTATTATTGTGAAGGACTATGATGCTATGCCATTCTAGTTCTTTATCCTTTTATATAACTTGTCTCTTATTAAGCTTTTTTTTAAAAAAAAATATTTTATTGATTTTTTTACAGAGAGGAAGAAAGAGAGATAGAGAGCTAGAAACGTCGATGAGAGAGAAACATCTACCAGCTGCCTCTTACACACTCCCTACTGGGGATGTGCCTGCAACCAATGTACATGCCCTTGACCGGAATCGAACCTGGGACCTTTCAGTCCCCAGACTGATGCTCTACCGGCTTCGGCTCTTATTAAGCTTTTAAAATTAACATTCTGAAGTATCATGGATCTTCTTGAGAGTCTTTTCATTCATGAAACTGGGTACTTACTTGGGGGTGCTTTCAATCTGGAAACTATCCCTCAGTTCTGGGAAATTTTCTGAATTATTTCATTTGTAATTTTCTTTCCCATTTTTTTTTAAGTCTCACTACTCTTTAGAACTGCTTTAATTGGGTGTGTGGGTGTTGGATCTCCTAGAATGATTTTCTAATTTTTATCTTGATTTTCCTATATTTCATTTTATTCTGCTTTCGGGGATATATCCTCAATTTTATTGTTAAACTCTTTAAGTTTTCCTTTTCCACTCATTTTAATTCTAAGAGCTCTTTTTGTTTTCTGAAAATTTTCTTTAATAGTATCTATGCCTTCTTGTTATGCTTTTCCATTTTGTAATGGTCAGTATCCTTTATATTAGAGACATTCTGGCTTCATATATCTGTTAATATTTGCTTTGGAACTTACAGATAAGACTGGGCAACAAAAAAGCTATTTGGATGCAACGTTTATATAGGTCTTATTTCTGTAGAGTAAAAACCTTCCTGGGCTGTTTCTTTGGGGAGTCCCTAAATGTCATTATCTTGAGATCTTTTCCTTGGACTAGTTGGATTCCCAAAATGACTTTTCTTTTTTTGTTAATCCTCACCAGTGATATTTTTTTCCCCATTGATTTTTAGAGGAAGTGGAAAAAAGGTGTGGGGAGGGGGAGGATGCAAATACACACACACACACACACACACACACACACACACACACACACACACACACACCCCGATTGGTTGCCTCCTGCATGCACCTCAACCAGGTCCCCAGGCCCCGGAATGGAGCCTGGAACCGAGGTACATGCGCCCCCTCAGTCTGAGGGCTGGTGTTCTAACCACTGAGCAAATGGACTAGACCAAAAATGACTTCTCTAATTTGCCTGAACAAAGAAAGCCAAATGACTAGCATTTTGAGAGCTAAGTCGTGGAAAAGGAGGGTTTATCTCAATCTTTAGTATGTAAACCTTAACTTACTTTCCCTTTTTTTTCTGGCATAATAATCCTGCACTCATTTGTGCATGTTGCCAGATTCCCTTTTTATTCTCCACAGAGGGGGAAAAAAGCCTTAATCTTCTGTTTATGTGGGCGAGGAGCTTTACCTGACTGGGCAGAGACAGTAGGCAAACTTTAAACTATGTTCTAGCCCCTCCTCTACTTCCAGAACACCTGGTGCTGCCAATTTTTGGCCAGTTTGGCATTTTGCAGTGTAAATCCTGTGGCTCCTCAGCTTTCCGCTCTGCTGGTTGAGGGAAATTTTGCTTTCCCAGTCAGTATCCACTTAACTATTAATTGTCTAGTTTCTAGGTTTTATTGCTGTTGTGTTCTTTTTTCATTCTCTTTGTTCTTAAGAGTTTCTATTCCTTCCTGCCTTTTATTTACATTTCAGTCAGGTTTGGGGCGGAAGTCAAAGTTCATGGGTACATTTATTATACCATCTTTAACTAGAAGTTGCCATTTATTGGAGTAATTTCTTTTTTGTTTAATAGTTACTTTCCATTTAGTGATTTTACTCATGACATTCATGCTTCTTGTTTTTATGTGTGCATTTTTTTAAGTCAACACTAAAACTGCTGCAAACAAAGGATGTTGGAAAGATATGAATGTACCACCCTTACTGATTTTCTGTAATTTGAGTCTTATTTTCTTTTGAGCCTTTTAATTTATAGCATATGTTGCTAATGATTGTTAAGGAAAAGTTTATTCTACTAGAGCAGGAAGTAGAAAACTACTCAGAATGAGCAAGACTCATTTCACGTTACTAAAGTCTTGTTACCTCGTTTAGAAAAGAGGTATTTATTGTTATTTTGATACTACTCTATTCCAGTTAACCCACTCCCACTCTTTGCCTTCAATTTGTTTATGCGTTTATACATATTTCCCTCCTTTCTCCCTTTCTGTAGCTAAATCGAATTTGTTAGAAAAAAGCCACTATTCCTCCTAGATATTAAAACTTGGATATAGATCATAATAGAATCCATTTTAGAGTCAGAAATGAGTTCAAGTTATCACTTATTCCAAACCACCGCCCATAGAAGGGTATCCCCAAATCGTATATAAAAGGCATTTTGCCCATATTTAGTGGTCTCTAGGAGTGTGTGCAGCCTCTTCATTCTCTCGTTTCAGTATTTCTCAGTGGTGTTGTTCTTACTGTTGTCTCTGGCAGGTTCCAGATGTGGGTAAGGGAGAGTGCTGTTTTTTTTCTGGAATAAAAAGGATAGGGATCATTAAAGGAAGCAATTAGACTACAAAGAAAATTACATGAACCTAAGTGAAAAGTTGATATGGAGTGAAGCAGCTGAAGAAGGTAATGGGGGTAAGGCAGGACCCTGAGCCTATTTGGAAATAGAGATAGGGTCATCTTGTGTTTATTATCTTTATCATCTATTTAGTACCAATAATTATTTTCTCCAGTGTGCTAAAGGAAATAAAATTATAAGAATCAGAAAAGAAGTATTTCTTTCTCTTTGATACATTTTTTTAAGTTAGAAGCAATATATGCTCAGAGCTTAAAATAGATTCTATATAAGAAAGCATTCAGCAATCTAAAACATTAGGCCTAAAGTCATAAAATGCATTGATTGAGCTCCATGCTCAATGGGGCTTTCTTTATATTTCTATATCTTTTGAGAGGGAAAAAATTGAGAAGGGGGGTAGATGTTGACCATCCAGACACTGAATGGATAAATCCCTAGACAGAGGAAACATTTGCTAGCATTATTGGCTATCTTGAAAAAAATCAGATTGTCAAAATAGCTAGCCAGTAGATTATGAAGAAAATGTTCTTGAGTCAATTTACCTCATTTAAAAAGTTGGATTTTTTTAAATTTGAAATTTATTTTGAAATTTGGGTTTAAATGTAGTAATTTAAAAAATAGAGAACAAATATATGCTTATTTTAATTATTTTACAAACTAAGTGCCTTTTTACATAGCCTACAGTCTTGAGAGAGAGAGAGAGAAAAAAAGAGAGAGAAAAGCTTTATACAAGAGGAAATGATATTGCAAAAGAAACAGTGTTGTTCTTATGCTGTTTTTAAGTACAAGTTTCTTATGAGTTTTTGATTATTTGCTATTCAGGCGTCTTCAAACTACGGCCCGCGGGCCACATGCGGCCCGCAGAGGAGTCTGATCCGGCCCGCCAGGTTTTTTGGGCAGTGAGCGCAGCCGAGGTGTTACAGTAGGAATTAGTAGTTCATATAGTCCGGCCCTCCAGCTCTCTGAGGGACCGTGATCTGGCCCCCACTTTAAAAAGTTTGAGGACCCCTGCATATGATTGTTATATACTATGAAGTAAAAATATGCTGCACTTATTTTGGTTTTGTTAAAGGTATTTATAGTTTCCCACTAAATATTTTAGATATTTATGCCAAATATCAATGTATTTTGAAATAAGATGTTAATAACTCACAATTAATTTCACTCTTATAATTAACCATTTTATAGATTTTTTCCCCCCTCTAGTTTAAAAACTTGTAATGGAAAACTTCAAAAAAAACTTCTAAATAAGGAGAATAGTCATCACCCAATTTCAACAATTATCTATGGGTAGCCAGTAATTTTTTGTTTTAAAAATTTGTTTTTAAGTTAATGTCACCTCAAAATGTTGTGTGATTAACATATTTCATAATAAAAAGATCAGATAAATTTGAATAGATAAAACCTTTTTTGAAAAAGAAAAATAATTTTTATTATATTATAACTTTATTTGGGAAATACTTTTTGTCTAGTATAAGGTTAATATCTATAGAGTGTGTGAAAATATAATCATATTCTCTGCTCTTACATCATTTTATAAAGGCATAATTTTTTATACAGATTTAACAAACAAATATGACTTTTTAAAAAAATTCAGCAACAACCACCAAATCTGTAAATATATAAGATCTTACCTTTACTGTTTTTTTTGTCTCTGAGATTGGTGTGCTAAGGAATCTATTCTGTTTCTTTACTATTAAAAAGAAAGCTATGTCATATGATTGCACTTCACTTTGTTTTTACCTTTGTACCCAGTGAGCAGGTGATTAAAAAAAAAAAAAATCCCACACACTGGACTTCCTTAGCAAAAGATTGACTAGAAGAATAATTTCTTAAAGTCATCTTTGACTTCTTTAGTATAATGAGTAAGGTCGTTTTCATAATCTTTATGTTTAATTACCCTTAATAAAGTTAAATATTAACAACTTTACGAGTTCAAGTATATAAATTTGAGAATTCTACAGTGATTAAAGTATTATTCCTGAAGTTATTTTATGTTTAGAAAGATACAAGTTGAAAAAATACCAAATTTAGTACTCCACTGAGTTTTTTATGACACCATCATTGGTGATTTTCTGCCAGGTTATAACCTGAGCCAAGTCCTAATATCAAAATATTTGACACTTGCCAAGACCAGTTTGGCTCAGTGGATAGAGTGTCGGCCTGCGGACTGAAAGGTCCTGGGTTCGATTCCGGTCAGGGGCATGTATCTTGGTTGCGGGCACATCCCCAGTGCAGGGGGTAGCTGATCGACGGTCTTTCTCTCATTGATGTTTCTAACTCTCTATCCCTCTACCTTCCTCTCTGTAAAAAAATCAATAAAATATATTAAAAAAAAAAAGAAAAACATTTAACACTTGACCATTATGTGGCCTTGAGAAAATCAGTTACCTGCCTTTTGCTGTTAACTTCTCTGTAAAATGGAATACTGTACAACACTAGTTCTCATCTAACTACATTGAGACATGTCAGAAAGAAACATGGTTAAGAGGCAAGTAATCATGGAGTTCAGAATGAGTTTGTTTCATACGATTAACTCTTCTAGGCCTCATTATCTCCTTAATCTATGAAACAAAAAGACTGAAATAGATGATCTTTTCTGTTTGAAAGTTCTATGATCCCATATACCCTTATAAATTGTAACAACAGTAAACATACCTGTAACATCAAGCACTGTAGCAATTGAGGTTCCAAGTAAAGAAAGACACTAGAGTGAGACAAAAATAAATAAAAATTCCAGGTAGTCAGTTTCATTATGTTCGTCATTTATTTGATTATTATGATGTCTGTACAGAAAGGTTTCTGAGTTTAGACTATCTTATGCTAATGGAGTATGAGTGTGTAAAGAGTGTGAAGGTCACCAATATGTGGATATGTAAGACTTAGCTAGTGACTGTGAAAACTGTAGAAGTTGGTTATCTACTTGTGAAAGGGATTAAATAGTAGAATAATCATTTTGAAACTTAAAATATAAATTTATGGCATTGGAATTAAAATTTATCTTTAAGAAAGATTTTCTATGTAAATCTTGAAATATTTACATGATAACTAGCATCTTACCTTTTTTTTTTTTTTTTTTCCAAAATGTTTCTCTATCCTAATGATAATTGACCTTACATAGGGTAATAACTAGCACATCACTGGTATTTCTTGTGGTTATATGATAAATATTTGTAATTAATTTCACTACTACTTATAGATGGTTGTACTTGTAATGTTTCTGTTTTGTTTTTTTGGGAAATTATTACTTTGCAATGCTATAATATTGCTGGTAATCTGTGGAATACCAATTTTACTCTACATTTTAGTTGTATTCCATGGAAATTGTTGTGTGCTGCTGCAGTTAGATGTCTACCCGAGCAGCCATCTTGGATCCTCCCTGGAATACCAATTTTAATTAAAGCAGTGGATAAAAGAGAGTTTAAGCAAAACATATTAATCTAAAACTATGACTTTTAAAAATCAAGTTGCACTATAGGTCTCTCTACTCCCAGTTCAGTCAGAGTTGTATTACTTTATATGATTTACATGTTAAACTTCCATACCGTATTTCATTTGTTCAAAGAATTTTGTAGCTATGAGTTGTTTGAAAACAACTCTTCTAAAATGTAACTATCTTATTTGTCTTAAAGGTATGATAGCAAAAATTATAAATACATCCTCATGTTGAAGCCTTAAAATTTTCTGCGATGATTTTTGTGTTTTCTTATAAGAATGTAAGTAAAATGGAGAGTAAGAAAATAGAAGCATTTGGGGGTTGAGAAGAAAAAGACAAAGTAAGTCTGTGCTGATGGGGGCCAAGTTTTGTACAGGTCAAATAGAATTATTTTGTACGTTTGAAAGAACTTTTAGATCATAAACTATGATTGAATAAATGTAAGTACCCTATTTAAATGAGACCAGGACCTGAGTAAAAGTAATGTTTTTTTCCCCTCAGTATAGTAAGGAATATTGCATACTTTTGGTTTCAGGAAGGAGAAACAAATTAGAAGTGTAGAAGAAGAAATTGAACAGGAAAAACAAGCAGCAGATGGCATTATAAAAAATATGTCTCCTGAAAAACAAGTGAAGTACATAGACATGAAAACCACAAATGAGAAATTATTACAGGTAATACTGATTGCTCCTTTGGGACAGGCATATAGCAATCTTGCCACTAGGGGCAGCACCAGCATCCCCTGAGAGCTTGACTAGACTCACTCCACAGTCTTAACAAGGTCTCTGGATGATTCATAGGATATTTAAATTTGAGAAGCACTGCTTTAGAAAACTTTATTTTCTTATGCTGCATGATGACCTAGCTTTTACTATATTATTTGTTCAGTCTATGCGTCCTTCATTTTTGAATGTCATAAGGACATATGAAAACACTTATTGTAATCAACTTTTAATAGCAACATTAAAAGGCCTAATATACCGGAGCCATATAAAGTGAATATTTATATTTTTTCCTTCCTGCCTAATAAACCTCAAATCTTTTTTTTTAATTACAAATATTTAATGTTGATACTATTGCAGATGTCCCCCATATCTCCCCTTACCTACCTCTACCCATTCCACCTCCCCTTCCGTTGGCCTTCACCACACTATTTGTGTCCAGGGGTATGCATATGTGTTCTTTAGCTAAACCCTTTACCTTTTTTTTTTTTTTTTTAAATACACTTTTATTGAATTCAGAGAGGAAGGGAGGAGTGAGAAATAGAAACATCAATGATGAGAGGGAATCATTGATTGGCTGCGTCCTGCATGCCCCACACTGGGGATTGAGCCCACAACACAACATATGCCACAACCAGGAATCGAACTATGACCTCCTGGTTCATAGGTTGATGCTTAACCACTGAGCCACATGGACCTGGCTCGCTTTCCCTTCTTTATCTGATCACCTCTGCCCTCTCCCTTCTGGAACCCACCAGTCTATTCCATGTACCCATGATTCTGGTTCCATTTTATTCTTCATTTTATTTTGTTCATTAATACCTTCATTAACAGTTCAATATAACTTTTATTTTAGACCGGATTTATAAGATACAATGAAAAATATCAAAATATAGTTAATCTTACATAGGGGTTCTCAAATGAGTAATAATCAGCTTAAGAGTTTTATTCCTTAAAGATGTTGAGTTATGTAAATTGCTAGAGGTCTGGGCCCTGAAAGAAATTAGGGACATATTAAGTCTTCTTACTTCAATAAAAATAAAATTTTTTAAAATAAATCAATTAAATTTAAAAAGGAATTAGAATTAGGGAAAAATATGAAAATATAGTTTAAAAATCATAACTTTAAACAATGACATAATGAGTTTGAAGGCTTCTGAAACTTACTGGATGGTTACAGTGATGTGATGATTTAGTGTGAAAAGGACAGGCTGCCTCCAACAAGTTTATAGAGGGTATGTGTTTTTTTTTTAATCTTCATCCAAGGATATGTTTCCATTGATTTTTTTAGAGAGAGAGAGAGAAACATAGATGTGAAAGAGAAACATAAATTGGTTGCTTCCCATATGCCTGGATTTTGGATCGAACCCACAACCTAGAAGTGCGCCTTACAACCAGAATCAAACCTGCAACCTGTGTTTGGGATGTTTGGGATGATGCTCCAACCAACTGAGCCACTCAGACATAAAAAATAAAGTGTTTTTAAAGATGGATCATGGCAAAGTTTTTAGAAATAATGAAAAAATTGGAAAAAATAGCAGTGAATACTACTAAATAACACAAGATAAGTTTTGAAGATATTTACAAAATTTACTTTGTCATATATATATTTGAAATGTTGAGAAACAAAAATTTATTCTGGCGTGTTATTTTTTTCTCTCCATTTTATTGATTTTTAGAGAGAGAAAGGGAGAGGGAGAGAGAGCAAGAGCTAGATAGACAGACAGACATTGATATGAGAGAAATATCGATGGTTGTCTCCTGTACTCTTTCTGACTAGGGATGGAGCTGCAACCTGGATTTGTGCTCTTAGCTGTAATTGAACCTGCGACCTGGTGTATAAGATGACACTCCAACCAATTGAGCCATGCCAGCAAGGGCCAAGTTTATTCTTAATGTAATTGACATATGTATTGTTTTTTTCTCTTCTATTTAGGAATTAGACACACTTCAGCAGCAACTAGATTCACTGAACATGAAAAAAGACAGTCTGGAAGCTGTAAGTATAAAATTAAATAAGATTTCTTATATTACTCATCTACAAAAGATAAATATATCCTAATATATAAAAACCCAGAGTCTGTAACAACCAACCGAAGGCTTGACCAAACACTGGACATAGAAAGGGAGTGGACTGACAATTCTAGGGGGAAAAGAGAGTGGGGGTGCGGGAAGAGACTGAACAAAAATCGTACACCTATGAATGAGGACAGTGGCGGGGGAGGGGGGATGAGGGGGGGAGGTAAGGGCAGAGGTAGGAACCTGGTGGAAGGGAGCTTTGGAAGGGAAAAAAGAGAGGAACAATTGTAATAAACTGAACAATAAAGAATTATTAAATTTTTAAAAATGCCATAGATTTCTTGGCATTAATTTTGTATCCTGCTACATTGCCAAATTTGTTTATTAAGTCTAATAATTTTTTGATGGAGTGTTTAGGGTCTTCTACATACAATATTATGTCATCTGCGAATAATGACAGTTTTACTTCTTCTTTTCCAATTTATATGCCTTTTATTTCTTCTTCCTGTCTGATTGCTATAGCTAGCACTTTCAGTACTATGTCAAACAGGAGTGGTGAGAGTCGGCATCCTGTCTTGTTCATGTTCTTAGGAAATGGTTTTAGCATACAATGGAGTCAAGACAATTTATTCAATAAATGATGTATGGAAAATTGGACAGATACAAGGAAAAAAAGTGAAACTAGATCACCAACTTACACCATACATAAAAATAAACTAAAAATATTTAAAGGACTTTAACATAAGATGGGAAACCATAAAAATATTAGAGGAATTCACAGACAGCAAAATCTCAGACATATGTCATAGCAATATCTTCACTGATACAGCTCCTAGGACAATGGAAACTAAGGAGAAAATAAACAAATGGGACTACATTGAAATAAAATGCTTCTGCACAGAAAACAACAACAACAACAAAAACAACAACAACCATCAACAAAATAATAAGAAAGCCCACTGCCTGGGAGAACATATTTACCAATGTTATCTCTAATAAGGGTTGAATCTCCAACATTTACAGGGAACTCAAAAAATGGGCACAGGACCTATATAGACACTTTCCTAGAGACATATGAAAACATGCTCAAAGTCACCAATCATCCAACAGATGCAAAGCAAAATGACAAATGAGGTAACTTCTCACACCTGTCAGAATGGTTGTCATCAACAAATCAATAAACTACAAGTGCTGGTGAGGATGTGGAGAAAAAGGAACCCTTGTGCACAGCGGTGGGAATGCAGCCATTGTGGAGAACAGTATGGAGTTTCCTCAGAAAATTAAAAATGTATCTCCCATTTGACCCAGTAATCCCACTTCTAGGAATATATCCCAAGAAATCAGAAGCACCAGTCAGAAAGGATATATGCACCCCTATGTTTATAGCAGCACAATAGCTAAGATTTGGAAACAGCCCAGATTAAAAAGCTATGGTACATCTACACAATGGAATACTGCGCTGCTGTAAAAGAAGGAACTCTTACCATTTGCAACAGCATGGATGAACCTAGAGAGCATTATGCTAAGCGAAATAAGCCAGTCAGAGAAAGAAAAATATCACATGATCTCACTCACTTGTGGAATATAATGAACAACATAAACTGATGAACAAAAATAGATACAAATTCATAGAAACATCAAACAGACCATCCAACCTAAGAGGGAATGCAGGAGAGGGCGGTGGTAAAAGATCAACCCAAGGACTTGTATGCTTGCATATAGGCATAACCAATGGACACAGCCAGTAGTGGGTGAGGGCTTATGCTGGAGTGTGATCTGCTGGGCAGAGGACAATGGGGAAAAAAGGAAATGTATGTAATACTTTAAACAATAAATTTAAATTTTAAAAAAGTTAAAAAAAGGAAGAAAATATGCAGGGATCTATTTTTATTCTTCCAGTTTAGAAATGTGTTTTATAGCATTAATGATTAATCTAGGTACTCGATGCTGGTGGTTTAAATGTGCCCTTATTTTTATAAACTGAAACCTATTTGAAATATTTTGGATGAATACATACATTTTTCCTTTTTTTGCTCCCTTCAGGAAATAGCACACTCCCAGGTAAAACAGGAGGCTGTATTGCTGCATGAAAAACTTTATGAGTTAGAGTCCCATCGAGATCAAATGGTTGCTGAAGACAAAAGCATGGGATCCCCAATGGAAGAGAGAGAGAGATTACTTAAGCAGGTAGGAAAAACAAACATACTTATTTTAATATGTCATGATTTGTGAATGTGTTTATTTTATTTAAGCCATATGAACTGACCAGAAAGCCAGTAAGTTTATGAGGTCTTTAAAAAACAGTGAAGTGAGCTTCACCTAACAGTATGAACTACTTGACCATTAAAGTCTAGTAAAAATCATCTCTGACATAAAGTGTTTTTTTTTTTTTTAATGTAAATCTTAATTTTGTGGTGGTCATGCATGTTATGGCCTTTCTTTTTCATGTTTTGGATTTTATGAGGAAAACTTAAAACTTTTCTTTGTTAGTGAATAAATAATTAGATAACCTTACTGAAGATCTCTATTATTTATTTTCGGCTTCATATTTAGAAATCAAGTGTCCCACAGCTAATGACTTTTATTAATGAAATTAAAATCTCCTCTGAAATCTGCCTGGTCAGAGTGACTCAGTCGGTTGAGTGCTGTACTGTGCACTGAAAAGTTGTGGGTTTGATCCCCAGGTAGGGCACATACAAAAGGCAGTCAAGCCTTGTTTCTCACATTGATGTCTCTCTCTTTGTCTGTCTCTCTCTCTCACCCTCCCCCCTCCTCCCCTGCCTCATGTCTTCAGGTGAGGATTAAAAAGTGAATAAAGAGCCAGGTTGCTGTGTCTCAGTGGTTGAACATGGACCTATGAACCAGAAGGTCATGGTTCGGTTTCTTGTCAGGGCACATGCTGGGGTTGCAGGCTTGACCCCCAGTAGGAGGCATACAGAAGGCAGGCGATTAATGATTCTTATTATTGATATTTTTTTTTATCTCTCTCTTCCTCTCCCTCTTGGAAATAAATAAAAAAATATTATTATAAATAAATAAAATCTCCTATGAAATTACAGTATGTCATATGGTCATGTCACATGTATTCACTAGCTTTCTTACTATCCCAAGGCTGACTTTAATTTAATACTGAGTTATAATTAACCTATTATTTATCGTGAGGTACTCTTAACTATAGGGCCCTTAGGAGAACTGCATGTGTATTTGAAAACAGCTAGTCAGGAGCCTACAAATGGAACTCCTTTGTAGTCTTACATTGAACCCAATAGGTTTGGAGGAACCTTAGGGATCAACTCAGGAGCTATTTAAGTATTAGGATCATTCTAGAAAAGTATTAAAATCTAGATTCTCTGAAAGTCCTTGGAAAAAGATCAGTGAAGTCAAGGGACTTGGTTGGGACAGGTTACCAGAACAAATATAATAAATTTGTATTTCAGGCAAAGAATAATATTTTAGTATATATATGTAAAGTATATTTTATATTGCATAATGTATAGTATCATAAAATTTACTTATCTGAAATTCAAATGCAGTGGGATAAATCTGTCAGCCCCACCTTATATATGGGGGGTTTATATCTTAGATATTTATGTAAACTGATCCAGTTAACCTCATGGTACCATGTGGATTAGTATGAAAGTATGTCACCACCCTTTCTTTCAGAAAGAAATAAAAATTTGTGAATAGTTCCTTATTGATGTTCCTTTTAACTTTAAAGATTGAATTTTAAGTAAGTTTCAAGAGACAAGATTTGACATTTTAGAGCAACATACCTTAGAATTATTTTTAAGATAGCCTAACAATTAATAATTCTTTGAACACCATTTTCTTTTTATGCCTTTATAGGTTAAGGAAGATAACCAGGAAATAGCTAGTATGGAACGACAGTAAGTACATTTGTACTAGGACATTTTGCATCCCTTTCTCATCTTTTAAATTATATTCTAACTGTACAAGAGGTGCATATTATCACAATAATTTTGGTGTGGTTCACACTGATAATATTGACATAACTTTCAGTTTTAACTACATTTCGTACAATTCACATATTTAAAGCATACGGTTCAGAGTTTTATAGTATATTCACAGAGTTATGCAAGCATCACTTCAGTCTATTTTTTTATTTTTTAATATATTTTATTGATTTTTTTCAGAGCGGAAGAGAGAGGGATAGAGAGTTAGAAACATCGATGGGAGAGAATCATCAATCAGCTGCCTCTTGCACATCACCTCCTGGGGATGTGCCCCCAACCAAGGTACATGCCCTTGACCTGAATTGAACCTGGGACCCTTCAGTCCGCAGGCCAACACTCTATCCACTGAGCCAAACCGGTTTCGGCACTTCAGTCTATTTTAGATCTCTTTAGTAACTTAATTACACCCTTCTTGTTTTCCACACCCAATCATTCCCTCATCCTAGCCTTAGAGAACCACTTTTATTTTATGTTTGTAGAGTGACCTATTCTGGATATTTTATATAATGAATGGAATCATATAAAACGTGGTCCAATGTGGGTGCATTCTTTCACTTAGCATAATGTTTTCAAGGTTCTTCTGTGCTATAACATGTATCGATAAATATTCCTTATGTGGATATACCATATTTATTTCTGTCCATTCATTAATGGATGTTTAAGTTGTTTTCATTTTTTGGCTGTGATCATGCTGGTATGAAATTCATGTATCACTTTTTGCATGTTTTCACTTCTCTTGGGTATACACCTAAGAGTGGAATTAATGGCTCATATAATATATCTATATTTAATTTTTTAGGAGTCCATTTTATACTTTACCAGCAGTGCATGAGGGTTCCAATTTCTCCATGGCAGTTGGGAGGGACCAGGCCTGCAGGGGAGGACAGTTAAGGGCAACCAGGCCAGCATGGGAGGGCAGTTAGGGGTGACCAGGCCTTCAAGGGAGGGCAGTTAGGGACAATTGGGCCAGCAGGGGAGCAGTTAGGCGTTGATCAGGCTGGCAGGGGAGTGGTTAGGGGGTGATCAGGCTGGCAGGCAGAAATGATTACGGGCAATCATGCAGGCAGGCAGGCAGGTGAGTGGTTAGGATCCAGCAGTCCTGGATTGTAAGAGGGATGCCTGACTTACATGGGTCCCAGATTGGAGATGTTGCAGGCTGGGCTGAGGGACATGCACACATACCCCCGCACGACTTTCGTACATCGGGTCTCTAGTTTATATACGTAAAAGCCTAAGTGACTGGCTGACCAGTAGTTATGACACACCCTGACCACCAACGGGCGGACACTCAACGCAGGAGTTGCTGAGCTGTATTGACTTGGCAACTGCTGTTCTTGGGTAATGCACTGGGAACCAGAGAAAAGAGTAAGCTAGATATTTAATATTCTTTTCCCACTTAATTGTCTTGCACTTTTGTCAAAAATCAATTATATATAGATGCAAGATCTGGACTCACAGTTCCATCCCACTGATAGATTTAGGGTGAGTGAAAATCAAGTCACAAATATTCCAGAACCACAGTAATGATTACTGTATATGAAGTACTAGTACAACTGCTTTTGCTAAAATTTTAACCCATATAATCTTCTATCAATGCAAATTTTCTCTTATTTTTTAATGTTTGAGATTAATTTGCCAATTAGTTCAGTTTATATAAACCTACCAAAAAAAAAAAAAAGAGAATATTTTTCACTTCCTTAATGCTTTAAGTCATGCTCAAAAAAAAAAAAAAAAAAAAAAAAAATATGGGCAAGCATCAGCTTTTGGAGTCAGACAACCTAACATCTGTAGAATATACTTTCAGTTCAAATGTGAATCATGAAAAAAGATCTATCGATAGAAAAGAAATTTCTAAATTTGTAGAATTATCCTGAGAATAGGGCACATATTTGTAGATATTGTTTATGCAGCTTAGAAAAGACATGATTTTTCTAACATCATCATTAAATGTTTTCACTGAATACCTATACTATCTGTTATAAATTCATTAAATAATATTTTTAATAGGTTAACAGATATAAAAGAAAAAATCAATCAATTTCATGAAGAAATTAGACAACTTGACATGGATTTAGAAGAACACCAAGGTACTTTTTCTGGCATTTTTATAATGTATATTAACAGCTATTTATATAGCAGTATTGATACAGTGTTAATTTGGGCCTCGAAAACTGTTTATACGGGATTTATTATTTAATTGTGACATCACTAACTTTACTAAAATACTAAAGTATAATACTAAATATTACAATTAATATTAAATTATTTAAGCCAATTCAAACTTGAAATAGCTTAAATTGATTATAGAATGATAAGAATTTATTTTCCTTGGCAAAGCAATTAAAAAAATGAACTAAAATGGTTTCAAATTATTACTGATTTTAAAGTTATATTTTCTCAATATAATGTTATTAATTATTAATTAACTGGGTTAACTGATAGAGTTGGGAGGAGTGAAGATCAAGTCACAAATACTCCAGAAAGACTTGTTTAGGGAATGTAGCAAGTACTGAAATTTTTGATCCTCTTCCAGCTTTTTCTAGTAGTGCGATCTGAAGAGCCAAGACGGGAACCAGAACACTTGGGGAATCCTGGGGTCTAAGCACGTGGAAGTGCTGTGCTGGGGAATAGGGAGCTGCTGTGCAGTCAGGGGAAGAGGACGGGTATTAGAATTTCTTAGCCAGCTTCTCGGTAGTAAGGGAGAGTAAGGTGGGTTTCTCACAGCACTTTAATCACAGATTAATTGCAAACCAGTTAGTATGCTCTTGGATTATCAAGAATTGACTATATTTTTTATGAGTCAGGTGTTATATTATAAACTGTGCATATATATGTATACCTACTATGTCTGAAGAACATTATTAGCAAGGAAAAAGGGTATTCTATCCCTAAAATTTTTTACTTCAATTTTAAATTCAGTGTACTCAGTATTTATACTTTTTTTGATTTATGAATAATAGAACTAGCTACTGTTGCTTGATTACTTACCTGATCTTTGCAAGAACCCTTTGAAGCTTTGTAACCCCTTTTATACTTGCTGAAGCTCAGAGAAGTTAAGTATCTACACTGACTACATATGTTAGCACTGTCTCCCTAGGTGCTTGACTTTCCCTTTAGGCTATAAGTTCTCCAGGACAAGGACTATCTCTTATTCACGTTGGTAAGCTCTTTCATCACAATGTCTGGGAAAATAAGCAGTAAATGTTTGTAGAATGAACTAAAGTAAAAGTTGGGCTCTAGTCATTTTTGGGGGGCCCTCTAGTTCTTCAGATGTACATATACACTCTTATCCAGAGAGTTTGATTCGTTTTATCACTTTCTAGAGAATTCTTACCTTGGGTTTTCTTATTGACATCTGTTTCTTCAGTAATCCTGAGTCAAAATTCTGGGCAATCTGCTTCTTAAGATGTAGAGGATAATCAAATTATTGATATTTTGACTTTCTGGTCCATACTTAGCTCTGCTTCTGGCTTTATTCTCTCTGGTCCTCTTTATTAATTTCTTAGATGCCACCTGACTGCTTCCATTTATAATCCTGTGTGTAATCCAACTGGATCGCCTTTTGCCTTGTAGTAGGGGTTCTGATTAATATAGCATGAAACCATAAATGATGTATATACACATCTGACTTTGTTAGTAGTTGCTTTTAGTTTTTAAATAAACTTTAAGAAAGATTTGCATTGCCCTGGCCAGTGTTCTCAGTGGTTAGAGTGTTGGCCCAAACACCAAGTCATGGGTTCTATTCTCAGTCAAGGGCTGTTTGCTGGTTTGATCCCAGCCTCAGTAGGGGAGTTTGGGAGAGGCAATCAATTGGTGTGTTTCTCTCTCTCTCTCTCCCTCTCTCTCCCTCTCTCCCCCTCCCCCCTTTCCCTCATTCTCCCTCCCTTCCACTCTCTAAAAATCAATGAAAAAATATCCTTGGGTGAGGATTAAAAAAAAAAAGATTTGAATAATTCATTTTAAATTCAAAGGCAGCCTTCAGTATTGGGTAAGGAGCAGTTATGTTCTAACTAGATATTAATGGTGGCCTTGTAATTAAATAACTCTGTCGAGGGCATTATATTTATTCATTTTAATAAGTTTTTAAGGCTATGATTTACAAAAGTTACATTGAATAATTATGTCTCCAAATTAACTAAATAAAATCAATTAACATTTATTTGACTTCTCTCTGAAAATCTTCATTGTTTCGTATGCTGAGTTATCAGTTTCTGTGACAATCTGGAATAAAGTAGAAAAAAATCTTCACAAAACACTTAGACTTTTGACCAATTCTATAAGGATTTCTTTGCTCTCAAATATTTACTTAGTCTTTGTAAGTGATATAAAATATAATATCTCATAACCAAAAATATTTGTTAGAAGAAAGTATCATTACTTTTTTTTTTAAATTGCTGTGGATGTCCTCTTATCATGTTATGTATTTGCTAGACTTCACCCATATATTAGTTTTATTTTATTGATGAATCAGGTAATTTTGTTATATGGGCTCTAAATATATTTAGGTTTAAATGTATATACTGTCTTATATTAATTGGGGAAGGAATTGTTACTGTTTTCGCTAACTAGAAGCAATGAGAAAACACTGTTGAAAATTGTTACATGTTCATTTTGACTACAAACGGCATGGTTATTAAAGCACAGCATTATGGGCAAGTGCCATGCTACTTTTTAGAAGAGCCCAAACCCATCCTGATTTCTCTTTAGAGGACGTGCCCACCTTTGAATATTTACTAATTGTTGCTTTTTTAAATGTTGCACCTGTATGAGAAAGGTACAGTAGTAGGAAGAGCATTGTTGCTCTGTGTAAAGAAGAAAACAAATAGATAATAGTAACCTATATTCTCAACACATGCTATCATTTTAAATAAAAATCCTTTTACCACAAGGTTTACTTACAGCATATAGCTGAGTAATTTGTTTGTAATAAGGTAATTTTTAAGGTTTTTATTCTCACCACAAATTAATACTTAAGTGTTTATATAGTAGCTCATATTGAAGGTCCCTCAAAATAAATGTTTCTTGGTCCACTGAAATCAGGCCCTTACTTTTCACTATTTTACATTAAATTCTGTATAGAACGGTGTTATTACTTTATGACATGACAAAATCTTTTATGGAATAGGAGCACAAAATAAGTGATCAGGCTGCTATGTAGAATTCCTGAGCCATTTGAAACTGAGTTGGTTCTCAGCTTTACCCAACACTGGCTTGTGCTTACACTTTCTACCATTTGTCCACCTGCTTCCAACTTCCAAAAATTTATTATTATTGTTTCCTTTTCTATTTTTCTCATTGCTGGAGTTTTACCTTTAAAAATTCTTTATTCTATGGTTTTAGCGACATTTAACGGAAGGGAGGAAGTGGGATGGAAATTAGATGTGCATGTTCAATTTGCCATCTTTATCAGAAAATTATTGGTTATAACTTAACTTACCCAGAATTTCTTAGAGTTTTAATCACTTTGGATGTACTTGATTTTGTGTGTGTCAGTGTTTATGTGTGTGTTTTGCCTAAAATGAATTATTTCCTTGTGCTTTCATTAACTGTGCAATTAGCTTTAGCATGCAGGAGTTACCCATTTCTGCTTTTTAAAAAACCTTTCTTTAATTAATTGTTAAAGATTCCAATTAATTTTCTTTTTAAAATTTTGGGTTCTTTATATGTGAATCTGATATGTGCTTAATGTGAAAAAATTTAAGCAGTATAAAAAGTATGTAAAGTAAAATGTTATCTTTTTCCTCAAACTCGTTCTGGTCATCAGAGGTAATCATTTTTTATAGTTTGATAATTAGCTTTTTAGTGTTTTCTATAAATATACAATCATATATTTAAAAATATACAATATGTAATAATATATAGTTCTTCTAAGCTTGAGTTTTTTATTTAAAAATTATATGTAATGTACATTATTCCATATGAGGGTGAATACACCTCCTTCTAAAAAGTATATGCCCAACCGGTTTGGTTCAGTGGAGAGAGTGTTGGCCTGCAGACTCAAGGGTCCCAGGTTCAATTCTGGTCAAGGGCATGTACCTTGGTTGCAGGCATATCCCCAGTAGAGGGTGTGTATGAAGCAGCTGATTGATGTTTCTCTTTCATCGATGCTTCTAACTCTCTTTCCCTCTCCCCCCTTCTCTGTAAAAAAATCAATAGAATATATATTTTTAAAAGTATAGCATAGTGGCTTTAAAACCAGATGAAAAAATGGTGCCTAGCACATAGCAAGCATTTGCAACAACTATTAGCTGCTGTCATTGTTGTTCAGTATATTTGTTATTTCCATATTGGTATGTAGGTTGTTTCTTATTTTTCACTACTAAGTGCAATGCTGCAGTAGATAGCTTTGCTACATATGTTTGTTAACTTGTCTATTTCTAATGGGTAAATAAGATCTACAAATTGCCAGTTTAAAAATAGTCACAGGGCTGAAACTGGTTTGGCTCAGTAGATAGAGCGTCGGCCTGCAGACTGAAAGGTTCCAGGTTCGATTCGGTCAAGGGCATATACGTTGATCGATGATTCTCTCTCATCGATGTTTCTAACTCTCTATTCCTCTCACTTCCTCTCTGTAAAAAAATCAATAAAATATATCTTTAAAAAAAATAGTCACAGGAATATCAAGTACAGAATCAGGAATATAATCAATATTGCTGTAATATTACTGTAATTACTGAAATAACTGTATGTGTTATCAGAATGTTTATTTCTTAATTATATAAATAGTCGCTGGGTTGTATTGAAACTAATATTATATTGTATGTGAACTAAATGAATTCTTAATAGAATGTTACTTATGTTCACAATTTTTATTGCTTTTGCAAATTTATTTCTGAAAAAGTTGTACCATTTTATACAGTCAATTGCAGTATATGAAAGAGCTTCCTTACCAATGCCAGTTGTTATAAATTTCTTCATTTTTCTCAGTCAAGATAATATACACTTTTCTGACAATTCCCTGTTCTCAAAGACCTGAATTTGTGGTACTTCCATGATCCACAAGGTGGGGCTAATTTTCTGAATATCTACATACACAGGCAGGTTTGATGAATAGTTAATATAATACAATATAGTCACATACATTCCC